TTAAACTTAAAAGTAACTAATTAAATAGGCGTTTCTGTTCCATTTTGACTGTGTGTGCTAGAGTGAGTCAGCAGTGTATAGTGGGGATGCCTGAGCTAGGGATTTTGTTTACATACAGACTTTTTCAGCTGTGTGAACTGTGTGATCTCCGTGAGCTTCAGCTTTTCAGAACAATAAAATGGGGCTATTAATCTGATATTCAATATTATAAATAACAAGTGAAAATGTAGACATTCACACATATGTGCTCACACACACACATATATGCATACACATACCCTAATCAGTACCTGGTATACAATATGTATATATTAAGTGACAGGTAATACATAATCAAACATATTTTGTTTATTATGTAATGTTTGGCAAAAGGGTAATAATTGGAAAATTTTGCTAGAGCCAATGAATATAGTGAGAAAAAATGGAATTTAGGGTTTATGAAATTGTATGAATATCTAATATTCCATAAAATAAGTGCCATATCTGTAGTATGTCTGAGAAAACTGCAGAAAAAATAAATTTAGTGACTGAAGCAGTATTGTCTCATAATTGGTTCCTTCTCTCCAGGAAACTGAGAAATGAATTGGTCAAAATAGACACATTTGAATTCATATTTAAAGACCAGAGTACTATTCTGCCTGTCTTCCTTTCCTTTAATTCATTAAACACTTTTTTTTTTTTTTTTTTGAGACGGAGTTTCACCCTTGTTGCCCAGGCTGGAGTGCAGTAGCGCAATCTCGGCTCACTGCAATCTCCACCTCCTGGGTTCAAGCAGTTCTCCTGTATCAGCCTCCTGAGTAGCTGGGATTACAGGCTCCCACCACTATACCCAGCTACTTTTTGGTATTTTTAGTAGAGATGGGGTTTCACCGTGTTAGCCAGGCTGGTCTTGAACTCCTGACCTCAGGTGAGCCAACTGGCTTGGCCTCCCAAAGTGCTGGGATTACAGGTGTGAGCCACCGCTCCTGGTCCATTAAACAAATATTTATGGCCAGGTATGATTGTAGCTCCAGAGAAACAATGATGAACGATACCAAGATGGTTTCCCCTCCGTTTTAGAAGCTTATATTCTGCTTCCAAGTAGAATAGGGTTAATTTCAGCTAAAGTACTTTCTGTGAATAATGAAACAACATGGTGCGAAACAGGGGTTAGAGAATCCCTTTATAATTCAGTGACCAGGGAGAACCTGTCTACAGGCTCTGAGACGCAAGCAAATTTCATATTCCCTCATCTCACTTGCAGGCACGATGTTACTGAGTAATCCTCTTGCTTCACCGAAAGATGTAATTCAATGAAAGTTCGTATTGTTTGATATTATACATTCTTATTTTTGATCAATTTTAAAAGATTCTTGGGTACGTATGTGATCATAAAAGGAGGCCTTAGAGTTTACTTTTGGTGAAATGATAATGTGTGACAATTGGAAATATGATTAAATTGAGAAATTACATGCAATCTTTTAAAGAACACAGCTGTTGTAGAAAATGAGATATCTGTATTTGCTTTAGAGCCAACACTGCTGTAATGTTTTTTGTAAAGCACATAATTGTAATGCAGCAAAATGCTTGTGTGGAAATTGGGATGTTGAATAGTCTTCCTGGAGCATCTTCAGGATTTGTCAGATTGCTTTCTCTCTCTGGCAACATAAAACATCTCATGTGGCAGAAGCGGTGCAAACCTTTAGGCATTTTAATGGACCAATGGACTGTGAGCTCCTTGATGGAAATCACACCATGATGTCTCATTATTTCCAAACAATACAAGAAAATCCATGGATGACAATTCTGGTGTCTTATTTGATGATTAAAATGCTTTAAAAAAGTCTCATACATTAGTAAGTATATCTAGCAATAACAAGTTCGTGTTGTGACAGATAGTGAATATTAATGTCCATGAAGTTTTTAGTCTAATTTTTAGCTGTTAATTGATATGATGTTTTTCTTTATTAGCTATGTTTAAATTACTTCCCTTTGTTGTCAATGACATGTACAGGTAGCAAAAGAAATAAAGTATATATGATTTATTTTTCATCTACTAGACAGCAGATTTTACTCACTTTAGTGGTGATGGATAAAATTTCCACATAACATTTTCATGCAACTTGTCGCATTAACAGGGGCTCAGAAATTATTATTATTATTATTTAATTTTTTTCCAAGATGGAATTTCGCTCTGTCGCCCAGGCTGAAGTGCAATGGCGCAATCTTCACTCACTGCAACCTCTGCCTCCCAGGCTCAAGCAACTCTCCTGCCTCAGCCTCCCAACTAGCTGGGATTATAGGCATGCACCATTACACCTGGCTAATTTTTTATTTTTAGTAGAGATGGGGTTTCACCATGTTGGCCGGGCTGGTCTCAAATTCATGACCTCAGGTGATCCACCCACCTCGGCTTCCCAAAGTACTGAGATTACAGGTATGATCCACCATACCTGGTCAGAAATTTTTTTTAATGACACAAAGGTTACATGAATTATTCCTGCCCAATTGATGAATTTTGTGTTTGTTATTCAGTCAGATTGTTATATTGTCTTGAGAGGTTTCAAATGTTCGAGTGAGAGGTGCATCGGTGCATCTTACCCCCTGACATCCCTGGTGCTGATGCAGCGCTGACCTATTACCATCTGCATCTTCTTCTGGAACATTCACAGCAAGATAGATGCTAAAATTAGGACTCAGATAGCATTTTCTGATGAGTATTCTTCAAGGATGTGTGTGTGTACGGCTAAGTAATAATACTTGTAGATAATTTTTTAACTGTAGATTGTGTTAAATAATGAAAGAATATTTACATCAATCTTGCCATCCATGTGTAGCCACTGTTAGTATTCTGCTGTTTCTTTCTGATTGCTTTTCTAAGAGAATGTGTTTGGTTGTGTGGACACACATATGCCTATTGCTTAGCACATAAAAGGTGCTATATAAATATGTGAATAAATGAATGTCTTAATATATGGAATAATTTGTATAATATATATGTGTGTATGTTGTTATTTTATTTTTAATTGACAAATAATTGTATATATTTATGGGGTACAGTGTGATTTTAGATATATGCTTGTGGAATGATTACATCAAGCTAATTAACATATCTGTCACCTCATATGTTTTTTGTCATGAGAATGTTTAAAATCTATTCTTTTTAGCAGTTTTGAAGTACATAACATTATTCAGTATAGTCAGCATGCTGTAGAACATATCTCTAAAGCTTATACCTGCTGTCTAACTGGAACGTCGTGTTCTCTGGGCAACATCTCCTCATTCCCGATTCCTTTCTCATCCAGCCTCTGCTAACCACCTTTCTAAGCACTGTTTCAATGAGTTTGATTTTTTTTATTGCATGTCTATAAGATCATGCAGTATTTATATTTCTGTGCCCCTTATTTCACTTAGCATAAGGACACAAAACAGCAGATACGATCTAAATAGACACTGTTTTGTGTCCTTACTTAGATTTTTTACTTAACCCAGATAATTCTCAAAATATATGAAATATGTAAAACATAAAAATATAGTTTTTGATAACCTCAGAATCATATATGTATATATGTACAATAGTTTCTTTAACCTCCTTCCCATATGAATACTACTTTGCATTCTGCTGTTATTTTGTGATATACATTTTTACCATCAACTTTTATCAGTGCTTAACTACTTTGTTAGTATGTAATCCTAGAGAAGAAATTACTGGGGAGTAGAATGTAAACCTAAGATAACTATTAATCCTTTTTGCCAGACTTTTGTTATTCAAAAATGATAATTTGGTTGAATTACAAAGATTAGCTATTCATCTAGAAAATTTGGAAAGCAGAAAAAGAAAGCACAAATAAAATTGGGAAGGAATTATTTATAATTCTGGCACTTAAGATGATTTCATGTAAATGTTTTTGATTTATGTAAGTTTAGTCTTATTTAATCTATTACACATTTACCAAAAATGATCAATTTGTTTCCTTAACTGCTTCTTTTTCCTACTTAGCAGTATATCATTACATAGTCCTTCTCTGCCTTTAGACAGTCGTCTACAATGCAGTTTACTGGCTGGTTTTGAAAGGGCACGTCCATGTAATGCATTTAATTACCTCCTCCTCTGTGGACCTTGACTTTGTTTCCAGTGTTTAATTTGATGTGAGATTCTAGGAAAAAAACTCTTGTGTTTTGCCCCTTGGACACATCTGCTATGATTGCATTAAGACAAATTCCTAGGAGAATTGCTGGTTCAACTTTCAGGAACGATTTTTTTTTTTCCCCCCAAGATGAACTTTCGCTCTTGTCACCCAGTCTGGAGTGCAGTGGCACCATCTCAGCTCACTGCAACCTCCACCTCCTGGATTCAAGCAATTCTCCTGCCTCAGTCTCCCGAGTAGCTGGGATTACAGGTACCCGCCACCGTGCCCGGCTAATTTTTGTATTTTTGGTAGAGACAGGGTTTCACCATGTTGGCCAGGGTGGTCTCAAACTCATGACCTCAAGTGATCCACCTGCCTCGGCCTCCCAAAGTGCTGGAATTATAGGCGTGTATCACCACGCCATGCCAGGAACGATTTTTAAGCATTGACAAATACTGCCACATTACCTTTCCACAGATTGTGACAATTGACATTCACAGCAAAAAGAAGTATGAAAGTAGAAGAAGATTATAAAAAACTTTAGACTATTCACTGTAAAATTAACTGAATCACTTTCCAGAAAGCCTGTGCCTGTTCACCCTCTTTGAGAGGAGCAAGATGGAACCCAGTTTGAGAGTTCACTGGGCATTCTCTTGAGGGTGGGACATATTCATTAGCTGGGTCCGAAACAGGAAGAGCTGAATATGGAGTGGTTAGGTGATTTAACTAAATGTTCATATGAAATGAGAGAGAAGGCTCCTCTTAGTTGCTGGGTCTTTCAATTACCAATTTAACTCATTAGCCTGCTTCTTGAGTTTATTGTCAAGTGAGTTTTATTATTTTCCTGTCACTAATTGTTTTGAGAAAAGTCATTGTGTGTTTCTCTTCCAGCCCCTTCAGCGGCTGCACAGGGAGCATGGTCTTGGGAGTGGTACTTGAAAGAACAGAAGGCTGTCGCAGCACCTGTTGAGCTGTTTTCCAAGGTCAGCCACTGAAGGACTTATATTTATATTAAGAGGTTTAGTTAAAATGAAATGACTTTCCTAGATAGCCCATCAACTTATTTGAATTATTTGTAGGCTTTGCTGGCAAATGACCCCACACAATCTAATCAGAGCTTTAGTGTTTCAGAGTGGGCTGGAGCTCAGCGCCACCACCTGTCAGCTCTGTGACCTTGGGCAAGTCATTCAATTCAGTTTCCTCATCCATGAGGTAGGAAAATTTCCCTACCTTCTTTCTCCTTGGGTGCTTGGAGGACTAAATCAATTGTACCCATAAAGAATACAGGATGCAAGGTGCACACTATAAATGCTCAATAAGCATTAGGTTTTACTTTTATTAGTCAGTATTATCTGCAGTTAGAGGGATCTGTTTGGATGTGTTGCTGAGAGTGGTGAGTCAAGCAAGATGTCAGAGAAGACATTGAAACCCCTGAATCCTGGCATACATGACTAGAAAGGTGACCAGAGTAGGCAGTGTAGACTTCCTTGACTGTCTACTAGCACCAGGGCCTTACACGGGATCATCTTTACGCAAGACACCAAATCTTCTGGTAGTCTTTTTGTTCTTCTTGGTCTGAGTTTTAGATATTTTGGGGAAATTTATAAGCATCAAATTTGCCTCATTACTTTACTTTTTTTTTTTTCTTTTTTCTTTTGAGACGGAGTCTGGCTCTGTCGCCAGGCTGGAGTGCAGTGGTGTGATCTTGACTCACGGCAACCTCTGACTCCCTGGTTCAAGCGATTCTCCTGCCTCAGCCTCTTGAGAAGCTGGGATTACAGGCCCGTGCCACCACGCCCAGCTAATTTTTGTATTTTTAGTAGAGATGGGGTTTCACGGTGTTGGCCAGGATGGTCTTGATCTCCTGACCTCATGATCCCCCTTCCTCGGCCTCCCAAAGTGCTGGGGATTACAGGTGTAAGCCACCATGCCCAGCCCATTTCTTTACAGCAGGAAGCTACAGCTTTTTATTTGGTTTACTTTTCGTGACATCTGTTGAGTTACATCTAGTATTTGTTAGCGTGTGAAAGGGCCAGCGTTTGGAATCCTGAACATGACATGCAACAGGGAAGAAGAGGTACAACGAAGATGAAAAGAAAGGGAAACCAAGTGCAGACCCCTCATGTTCAAGAAATGATGTGTGTCCTTTTGTTGTCTAGGCGGTATGCTTCACTAACAAACACTATGAAGGTCATACCATAGAAAATGAGAACATCTAGAGCAGTGTTCTTAACCCAGCCTTCGCACCATCTACTTTTGTGAGCTTTGGAGAGCACAGCGTGGGTCTTCCTGAGACCTACTAAATCAGACCCTCAGGAGATGGGCCTGGAAATGTGTAGCTTGAGAACCTCCTGCATTCTTTGTGCAGGTTTGAGGCCCGCTACCACAGAAGGTTTAAGAACCGTGCGTTTTCTGTCTAGGAGTCAGGTCCATGTTTCCCCACGTTGCTTTCACCTGATAAGACAGAGGGTTTCTTCCATCCAAAAGTGCAAGCTCAGTAAGGTAAGGGATTTTCCTTCATGTATCCCGGCAGTGCCTGCTGTGTGGTGTGTGCTCAGATGATCAGTTGCTATTGAGTGACTTCTACGGAAACTCTTCTCGCTTCTGAGTGTAAAGATCTCTGAAGGTGGTTGGCTTGGACCAGGGCAGTTCGGCGTAGCTCACAGTCACCTTGCCCTTTCCCCCCTGCCCCTCCCTGCCCTTGCCACGGGCCCACTGCAGGTTGGGAGGGCAGAACAGAGTGGGCCGAAACAGGAGCTGCCTGAGAACTGTCAGGCGCTGTGACACGCAAGGGCAGAGGTAGCGGGGTCAAGGTCCAGGATTTGAGGTTGAGCCAAAGAACATAGGTGAGGTTTGCACCCCGGTGGCTGTTGTGGCTAAGGAGTCACACCTGTGCCGTGTCCTCGGATCAGGGTACTAGGGCAAGGGTCCTCTCTTACACCCCCTCCACTGCCAGGATTAAATCAGATGTTTGGGTGTTAGAGGTGAAGTGTGGACTAATTTTCAGAGCAAAGAAAGTTTTGACTGATGGCAGCCAAGTGCTAGATTCTCTGTCCAGCTCCTGTGTTGCCCCACCTTTCAGCCTGTCAGTGTAGTCATGTTATTCTCAGAGCTTCTCCTCTAAGATCCTTTAATCCCCATCAGCCAGTGAAAGAACACCTGCAGGACTGAGAATTTCTCCCTCAGATTTTCCGTCATGACCTGGTGTTAACTAAAAAAAAGGCCAAAAGGGCAAACGTGGGATTCCTGTTCCTGAAATAAATCCTCATGATGGCATTGGGAACGGTGTAATCATATGCTCTGGGTCATGTGGCTTTCCCCCTTGACTTTACAGAGAGATGACAAAAGAGGTGCTGGAAGGCAGTAAGTGGGAGGGGCACAACATTGTGGGACATACAGACAGGAGTGGGCCCCCTTGGGAGGGTGGAGAGAGTCAGAGAGACTCTGTTGAGGGAGGTGGGTGGTGAGCAGGTAATGCACCTTTTGATGATTCTTTGGCTAAGGACTTTCTCAAGCTTTTGAAGTCTGATGTTCGTCATCTCTGAAAGGAACAGGAAAGCATTAGTGTGTGAGAAAACAGACGTGTTTAATACGTTGGACTGCCTTTCTCTCCAGTCATAATCTAACACTCAAGCTGCTCACATGTTTAAGACTCCATATGTGCAAATGCCATGTAAGACTGGCTAAAACACTAAAGAACGTATGACATGGTGTCTTAGGGTCTTGCCGGCTAATTGGGATATGATATGCAACAATCCGAGGTAGAATGTTAATTGCCCATGGAATGCACAAGTAATGAATTTATTGGGCATTCCATGTGTGAGATGAGACCTCGTTTGACCCTGAATGAGGAGGAGAATTGAGCTCACCAATTATTACGTCCAATTTGGCCTAATAAGTAAAGAAGGTACTTGTGATCAAGATCACAGTGTTACTCTAACTTGAATTTATATTTTCAGATGAAATAAGCATTGTCTATAATTGAAAATAGTTTTCAATATAATAAAAAAGGCAGTTGATTCATGTCAGCTTTCCAAGAAGGAGCATCAGACTCAACTCAATTTTATATTGACATTGTGCTTTTGACTATTAATGTTCATTTTCATTGTGTAAATGTTATTATAATGCTGTTCAGGTCAGCCAGCTGAGATGGAACCCTTCAACTGTTGACACTGAAATGTGGAAAATAAAACTTAATTCTATGCTTAGAAAACCCTAAAGACTCTGTCAAAAGGCTCCTGGGACTGATAAATGACTTCAGTAAAGTTTTAGGATACAAAATCAATGTATAAAAGTCAGTAGCATTTCTGTACACCAATAATGTTCAAGCTGAGAGAAAATCAAGAACACAATCCCAATTACAATAGGCACACAAAGAGAAAAATATCTAGGAATACATTTAACCAAGAAGGTGAAAGATCTTTTCAAGGAGAACTACGAAACATGGCTAAAAGAAATCACAGATGACATAAACAAATGGAAAAACATTCCGTGCTCATGGGTGGGAAGAATCAGTATTCTTAAAGTGGCCATACTGCACCTGTGCTCTGCATCCTTTCCATTCCTGCCTTTCTAGAGATCTTACTCCATCAGTTATCTCATGGCCTGTCTGTAAGTTGCCGTTTCTTCTCTTTCGAACATTTCCTTTTAGAGCCAGGTGAGGTGGCTCACACCTGTAATCCCAGCACTTTGGGAGGCCCAGGTGGGCGGATCACCTGAGGTCGGGAGTTCGAGACCAGCCTGACCAACATGGAGAAACCCCATCTCTACTAAAAATACAAAATTAGCTGGGTGTGGTGGTGCATGCCTGTAATCCCAGCTGCTCCGGAGGCTGAGGCAGGAGAAATGCTTGAACCCGGGAGGTGGAGGTTGTGGTGAGCCGAGATCGCGCCACTGAACTCCAGCCTAGGCAACAAGAGTGAAACTCTGTCTCAAAATAAAATAAAATAAAATAAAATAAATAAAATAATAAAAATAATATAAAAACGAACATTTCCTTTTAGAATGCAAATACGCTTAAGTCTGTTCCATCTTTATGACAAAGTAGTGCCCCTGGGTTCTGCATTTTCCTGCCTAACTCATCTCCTTAGTCCAGACTGGGACTGGCTTCTTGAAATTTTAGACTGAATTTTCTCTTTCTGGATTTTTCTAACCTTTCTTTCCCACCTCCAGCCTCCGCAACCTGACCTTTGGGTCAGTTCATCCAGTTCCTTAACAGCCATCCCACTGAGTCGTAACACAGCCCCTGCGCCCGCTGCGGGTCCTTCTCCTGGTCTTCGCGCCTCCTCACCTGGAGGACAGGCAGACCTCAGTACATCCAGACCTTTCAGCCCCCTCAGTGGAGCCAGCTCCCGGGGCCCCGTGTCCCTGTGAAGGACCCTGTGCTCGGTTCCTCTGCAGCCAGCTTGTTGCGCCCTCTCCTCTCTGCTCTGTGTACATTTGGCAATCTAATCTGCTCCAGATTTCCCTCATAATTATTCTATTGCTACTCTCCCTCTGCAGCACTACTGTCTTCATTTACGGTGCATGCTGGATTTTTTCCAGACGCATTTTTACAGCAGTTCCTTAAGCGATATTTCTCTGTCCAAACTGGCCCCACCTTTCACCTTGCCTGCACGCCTTGCCGGAGGGACCTTTGTAAATTGTGGTTTCTCTGTTTATCAGTTGTGTCCTTAACACCTCTGGCTGCTTTTTGTGCCATTCTGTGTGGTTACGTGTGGGTGTATGTTGTCTCTCGGTGAAATTGTGATCTCAAGCCTGACTTGGGTTTCTTTCTTCTTGTGTTAGTTCCTCTCTGCCCTCTGGTTCCCAGGAGAGCTTCCTGTTGTTTGCTGGCGCTTTTACCTGCGCTGCCTCAGTGAGCCCTTCATTGCTTCCCCTGACTGTGTGGAGGCACCTCCCTGACTCTTAGTCGATTTAACTGAAAACAGCAGATAGTATCACCTACTTCTCAGGGATTTTCCTGAAGAATTCCACATCGTGT